ATTTCTTGACCTAAAAGGCATAAGGGTAGAGTGATACCAATTTTTCCTTAATTTTGCAGCAGTTGTGGAACACAGACTTGGCACCTCTCGTGGAGGAGAGCTGCAGAGGTGTTTTCTCACAGTGATTTATTTTAGGACAGGCCTTCTAAACTTTTTTTTTTTCAACCTTACAGTAAACTGGTCCTGAGCAAATAAAATTGGCTGTTTCTGCTTCAGTCTGAGGCTGTTCCTCTTTCTTAACAAATTTTTGTCTGGGATGCTAGGAATACCTTTAGCCACTTTTTTTTATAAAGTGCCCAGGAAAACATTATTGGGCAGAGGGGAGCTCACGTCACTTGGTATTTTATTTGTGATTGACTTCATATTATCTGGGACACTACAGAAAGAGGGAAGAATTTGCTCAATATGGGAACTAACATATGTGCTGAGGATCGTGGTGCTTTAGACACTTGACCAAGAGGAGTTAAGTTGAAGTTTGTCTTACTGATCCCAGCTTAGGGCTGGCTCTACACAAACCAGATCTGAGTTAGCAGGGGGCCCGTGCTGCACCAAGATTAAGCGTTGTAGCGTTCATGATGACTCTGCAAAGCCTGCACAATGCTCCCTGCTTTCCCTTCTCCAGCCAGACTTGGGGCAGGGGCTCCCGTGGGCCCTGCCAGAACCCGGTTTTGCAGGAATGTGGGTCCAGGATCGTTGGTTCCTGCAGTGGACTGGCAAGCAGGGTAGCTCGTGACGCTGTGCTGGAGCTCCTGAGCTCTGCCAGACCCAGGCTGGCGTAGCAGCAAATCAGCCTGGCTGCCTGCATCCTCGGCACAGCTAATCATAACCCTGTTCAGCTGCCCATCGATCGTTGAGTTGACTGTGCGTTAATATCCAAGAAGCCAAATCGATCAGTAGATTTGGATAATTAAACTGCCAAGGGATCGATTCCAGGCCTGTTAGTAGTTTTGATGGTATGAAGTGTTCACTGAATGTATTTTTGCATGCTACAGCACTCAGTCCTGTAGACAGTGTGACAAGCTTAAGTATCTCCTTGGTCCTTGATCTCTGTGTTGTCTTGTCACACACAGCTGCACAAATTATTTTGATATTTAAGATCAGTTATATCCCATCCTCCTTGCTCTGGTGAAGCTGCAATCATGGCTTATACACAAACTTCCCGTCAGACACTGAAGATGTGAATGAAATCTAATTTTTCTCTCTTACCTTAGCTGCTGTATAAGGATGCCTTGAGCTGTTGAGTAGCTGTTATTCCAGACCAGTCAACTGCATTTTAGTCATGGTTACTGTTGATATGTTCCTATAGCTTTTAAAGAGTTCGTAGGTTCTCCAGATCTGCAGGTTCAATGCTGGAGAAACGGATAATAACAATAGGGAAAGTAACTGGAATATCTTGAAATGTCTTTTACTTTTGAGGAATGTTGTGCTGAGCTAGGAATGCGGTCAATGATTACATGGGTATGAGGTGAAACATCACCAGAAGGTGGAATTCCTGACTCACTGAAGGCAGTAGAAATCTTGCAATCGAGGGAAATTCTGGCCTTCTGGAGTTCAAAGGCTCCATGGCCTTATAACAAATGAACAAAAGACCCCTTAGATGCTGAATTCATGACTGTAGGAGTAAACATCATGGGATGTTTCTTCATTGTATCCAGTAGCTACCCTTGACCTTCTCATTCATAACAAATTTTAGTGAATGAGTCTTTAGAAATCTGTTCCTTCTTGAAGAGGAAAGTGTGCATGAGAAGGTCAAAACATCTGGAGCCACAACTAAAAAGCAAGTGCATTGGGTTTAACATCATTCCACAGGAAAGCATCCTGGAAGGAGACAAAGCAAAGAGAAGGGTGTAGATGCTGTCATCATCTCGTGCTCTTGCACACTATGGGAAAGTAGCATGCCTGCAGTCTGGAGCATGGGAGTGGTGGGTCCCGTCTCTGATCCAGGTCTTGTGGAAAAACCAAAGTCCTTCTAGGGTGGGTCCATCTTTTTGCAATACTGATAGTTCCTCTTCTCTCTGACAGGGGAACTGTACTCTGGCAAGATGCTCTCTGTCTGGTGAGTGTTACACTTTTATTTCATTTCAAACTACCTAGACAGAGCAGAGCTTATCATGGAAATTGATAATAGGTTTGATTGGGGTTTGTTTCTGCCAATCACGTAATGAAGAAACAGTTGGTGAAATGAGCTGTATTTCCATCTCAGTGCCTCCCTTGCCTAATGTACGTGCTGCCCGATCCGTTCGGTTCTGGTGAAGATTTCAGAGCAGCAGCACATTGTATTTCAAGCATTGCAGTGCTTGAAACAGATGCTGTTGCAGAGCCTAGCTCTCTAATAAACTCCTTTGAAAATGATGAGTGAATGTGTCAAATCTAGCATGCCTGTGAACTCCTCTTTGGTGCTTAAACTGGATTTTCCCAGAGCTCTGTTTTTTCTAGCTGTACTGTGTTTGTATAGCATTACATTGCTCACTTCTGATTCCACTTTGAGAAACCAGTTAAATCTGCTTAACTTTTCTGGTTTCTAGAGTTCCAATATCAGCTCTTTAGTAGGGGATGGTGTCAAAATTGTATTGCTTTTTTTGAAAACTAAGTGGGGAAATGTTTCTTCCTTCTGGCATTGTGTAATTGAGATAATTATGTTCTCCAATTGCTATGCTGACTCTCTTTAAGATCAGTCTGGAAAACTGCCCATTGCCCTGAAAGAGACAAAGGACAGGAGTTCAGTTCGTAATAAAAATTGCAGTGTCAGGGCATGTGAGTAGTGTGGGACGGGGACAGTGGGGTATGTGAAACCGAGAAGCTATGCAAGTACGCACACCTCTGCTGCGAGTTCTGGGAAAGAAGTGTTCTTGGGACGGGGGGTGGACAGAGAAGAGGGATGATGGTGGCTTGCTACTCTGCCCTACACCCTGTTTTCATTCTTTTTTTTTCCTCCTTACCTGTCCACACATGAGGCTTCCTGGGGGTGCCTCTTAGGGGACTGATGTCTTGCTCTTATTAGGAACCCCTTTGTGTTGATGACGATAACTCAGCAGCAATTGAGGTTTTAGCAGTCCTGGAGGTGTCCCTCATAGCCGTTTCCTGGTTTTGTTCTGACTGGGGTAGCAACTGCTTTTTTTGCCCTTTTCAAAGTTATCCTTATCAGCTTTGAGGTTAAGATAGAACTGTTTTTCCCATCGCTATAAATCTAGATGAAGACAAGACCACTGTTCTTGGCAAGCTCTGGGCAGGTTTGATAGCACTGAGGTGCCTCTATATGGCTGTATTCTGCACTTAGTCCCAAGCTTCTTTCAGGGTAGACAGAGGTGTCCTCAGCACTCTTTTATCTGACAGGGACACTCGAGGGCTGGATGGCTGCATAACGTTCCTGTGGGGTAACACCATTCTCATTCACAGGTGTGGCTGGGAGCCAGGGACTGGCTTACACCAACAGCAGGAAGCTTGTGTAAGTATCCCCAGGAAAGCTGTGATGTGGAGAGGCTGAGGCTGCTCTAGCCCTGATAAGATTTGGGGGCCGGGAGACAGAATATGCTTGGCTGTCAAAAAATCCCTGTGCACGTTGTAGGAGCATGGAACTAGCCCTAACAAAATCTAGGTTTTGCAGGTCAGGAACTGTGGCATGCTTGAAGAAAATAAGCTTTGTTTGGAAGCAGATGCTGAGGCAGGGAATGCACAAGAACGAGGAGACTGGTGATAAATGGATCTCTACCCTTTGATTATCTGACTAGAAATTTTGTTTGCTCTATAGTGGCCTCCTGGTGGGATTTCTGTCAGGAGAAGTGAGGTGGTTCAGGGAGCTCTTGTTCATATGACAATGTTTGCATTGCTGAGGTGGTCTTGTAAAAATTTATTTGGGGAAATAACCTTAAGAGCGTATCCATAAAAGCCTGAAGTGCTGGTCTGTTTGCAGCAAGTAGCCTGTGTTAGAGGAAATGCTAAAGCATGTTTGCTTCAGGTTTCCAAATGTAGTGTCAGTAGGTAGAAAAAACATCCTTTGGAATGCTTGGAATTGCCAGCTCCCTGTGAAGGGACATGGTGGCGAGAAATAGCTGTCTCTTGGATGGGTTGCCATAGGCAATTTATGGTACTTTCTCTTTTTTTTGGAGCAATCTAGCAGCTTCTGTAGAGATGACAGTCCTGACCTGGAGGTAAAAAATGGTTACTGCACTAGGCTGGGGCATAGGGTGGGCTGGCTAGGTCAGCCTTTTATCAGTATTTAAATCACGGGGGTTTTGTTGGATTATCTCCCTAAATTAAAATTCCATAAATTTCAGTTCTCACTGAGTTGGAGAGCACTAGTGATGGTAAGCTGTAATGTTTCCTTTCTTAGGGGGATTGTTGCAGCTTGAAGAGTAGGTAGGAGTCCTTTGGAACAAATACATCAGAAGAGCTGAGCAGCCTTTCAGATCAGTTAAGCAAATGTAAATTCTGTACGTGAGCTTGGTGCTGGCAGCCTGCAGAGGAATGTACTTCTGTGTTCATATCTTTCTCTCTTTCTGCAGAGTAAATAGCTCCAGTGTCTTCACCGTCCGCTACTTCAGAACCACTGCAGTATGTAGTAAGTAAAATTCTGGAGTCAGTGGGATGGCTCTTGTGCTACCTGTTGCTGTCTTGATAACAGCGAAGCTACCTCTTCCATCCTTGGTCGAGGCCCACTGCTGTCCTGCCTCGATGGATGGCTCAGGGTTTATGTCCCAGGGCCCTAAAGATTTTGTCTGGCCTTCCTGTCACAATGTGACTTTCAGTCAGATGGGAATTTTTCTTGTGTTTAAATGTTAATCAGTGTTGAAGTAAGAAGGCGGCCAACATTTGATGTCTGTTGACCTACACCCTCTACTAGGGTCCTGATGACAAGAATGAAGCAATGACTGAAGTTTTGAGCTCTGAATATGTTCAAATCTGTCTGTCTCTCCCACAGGGGATGACGTGGTTACGGTGAACACACCAGCCTTTGCAGAGTCAGTCACAGAAGGAGATGTCAGGTGGGAGAAAGGTAAGAAGTTGCCTGTTCCCTGAAATTCGCAGCACTGTTGCTGCTGCACTGGACAGCTCAGGGTTGAATTGTAGTTCATTGGCTGGCAGCCTGCTCTGTGCCTTTCAGTCTGTGACAAATGAGGTGGTTAATTACAGTTCTCCTAAGGGGTAGGGATTGCAGTTGCTGCCTCGGCACCTCTCAAGTCATGGGTCATGTTGGGTAAAGGCTGATGTCTAAACTGGAATCAGACTCTGACTGTGCAGTGGATTGATTATTTGAGCTAGTCTTTTCTTTAGAAGTTGTGGAGAACTGGGGTGAGAAAATTCTGGGTTAGTGGGGGAGACTGCTGTGGGTTAAGAGGGGAGGCCGGAGCACACCTCCCTCCTCACAGTGGTCTTCATATCTATCATTCAGCTGTTGGAGATACAGTGGCGGAAGATGAAGTGGTGTGTGAGATTGAAACAGACAAGGTAGGAGTTTTCTGGACCAAAACTTTTTCTAGTTCTGTAGTGAGTGCTATGTATGGCTCCTCTCCCACTAAGAGCTCTTAGAGCCTGCAGGCCCTGCCTGTGTCTCCTCCCTTCGTGGGGAAAAGCTTTTCTCATCTAGCGTGAAAGCTGGCTGTGCCTTAGGTGAGAATTCTCCGATAACTCTTCTTTTCTCATCCATTTGATTAAGCATCAGTGGTGCTACAATTCCACTCCTCCTTCCAATTTCAGTGCTCTAAGCTTTGAAAACTCGTTGTGTTTAAACAGAGGAGAAATCTGCAGAGCCATAGGATGTCTTCAGATTGTTTTAAATTTAGCCTTTAAGTTTACTTACTCCTTAAAGGACACGTAAGCTTTGAAGTTCTTGCTAAAACTCCGTGACAAGTTCTGCTTCTGATGATGCTGTCAGGAAGATGCTGGCAGTGGGTCAGTTTTTGATTGTACCCTGGAGCAGGAAGATCAGGCTATGCACTACACTGCCAGCGTCTCCTAAAACTTTGTAAGTATTGGCACAAAATCCCAGTGGAGGGTGTGAAAATTGGTGCAAACGGTGTAAGACAGAGCCACTGTCTGTGCCAAATTACAATGTGTATCTGTGTGTGTTGACATCTTCTCTTGGGCACTTGTTCTCCATCCAATGTTTGCGGGAATTTCACTGATTTTCCTTTTTGCAGACATCAGTGCAAGTCCCAGCCCCAGCAGCTGGTGTGATTGAAGCCCTTCTAGTACCTGATGGTGGCAAAGTGGAAGGGGGAACACCTCTGTTCAAACTCAGGAAAACTGGAGGTAAGTCAGGCATGTATAACTTGCACAGGCCTTCCTGTTTCCACCAGTCTTTTTCTGAAGTGCACTTAGAGGGATCCTGACAGAGGTTAAATGTTTTCTTCATCTGCCTCTGAAGCTGGAAGAAAATACTCCTATTCTGTTGTCCATTAGAAAAGCATAATTTTAGTCCTTCTGAGGGGGGAACTTGGCTTTTGCTTCCTCTGCAGGAGACTGCAGCTCTAAGCTAAAATTAGTTGAGAATTCTCCTGATACAACTCACTTCTCTGCCTTTTTCTCTTTAGCATCCAGTCTCCTGCACAGTGAGGAGATCTAGGGTATCAATGGGTAAAACACTTTCACCATGGGATCCTCTTGTGGTGGCTCCTATCAGTTCAGTAGTGCTGAGAACATAAAGGCTCTGTGCCGGAGGGTTAACTTTTATCAGGTTGGTTGGACTAGGAGATCCCTGACAGTGGAAGCTGTGGGTGCCCTTACTGTGGTTCTTCCTTGTCTTTCAGCTGCTCCTGCCAAGGCTAAACCAGCAGCAGCCCCTCCTCCTCCTGCAGCCCCTGAACCTGTAGCTGCAGCTCCTCCTCCCCCTGCTGCGGCTCCTCCTCCCCCTGCTGCAGCACCAATTCCCACTACAATGCCACCAGTGCCGCCTGTGTCAACTCAGCCCATTGACAGCAAACCAGGTGAGGCAACAGATGTTTTCTGCTATTTTCATGCCCCCCTCCCTTGGGGAGAGTGTGTAAGGTTAAAGATGGCAAACAGTCTGGGATTTATGGTGAAGGCCTCTCCACATTATTGCCCTGCATGCTCCAGACTGGAGAGCTCAGCTATGCCTGGTACCTGTGCAGCCCAATTCAGGGCTGCTTCCGCGCTGTCTTACTTGAGCAAGGAGCTCAAACAGGCTTTCTGCCTTAGGGTGTTGCAGTCAAGTCCTGGCTTCCTTTTCTGACTGATGTGTTCTTTACCCTCAGTGTCTGCGGTGAAGCCGGCTGCAGCCCCAGCGACAGCCCCTCCTGGGGAGGCAGTGCCCAGTAAAGGTGCCAGATCAGAGCATAGGGTAAGCTGTGGGAACAGGGGCCTTGCCAGCATTTCTGTTACTGGGTGGTAGCTTGTTCTGGCATAAGGCTTGAGCTTTCTAGATGTGTCCCTATCTACCCAGCTTGATGGGGCTGTGACAGATGAGGAAATGCTGTACATGAGGGTATCGCTTAGGGATGGGGTGGAGAAAGAGCCAGGTCCAATCTGACACGTCTTTTCTAGGCAAAAGTCCTGTCTTGAACTCTTCTAAGTGAACACAGAAGGCTCAGTGTGATCTGATTGGTCTGTCCACAAGCCCTCAGCAAAGGTCTGAGGCTGCATCACCTGGCTTGTGCATTCTTAAGAGAACATGGTTGAGCAGCCCGCTTTCTTAGCAGGCTTGCTCCTCTCATATTTGCCTCATGCAAACTGTTGAGCTGGGCAGCTCCATAGTGAAAACAACTACTCAGCCTGTCCTGCTCCTCAGGGAGAGATGGAGTAAAAATCTTGGCCCTAGGCATCCATTACTAGTCAACTTTTGAGTTTCTTCTCCGTTTTGCCCCTTGTATGAACTTGAAGCAGCTTCTGCTTACATCGTTTTAATTTTCAGGTGAAAATGAATAGGATGCGTCAGCGTATTGCTCAGCGGCTGAAGGAGGCTCAAAATACTTGTGCCATGCTGACCACTTTCAATGAGATCGATATGAGGTGAGGAGCAGACTTCTTTTTCCCTTTACAAGTAGAAATAGATGCAGGCAGTCATTGTTAAATAGCAGCCAAGACCTTACTGATCCTCTTTGGAGAGATTTGCAACATGTCTTTTGGGACCTCTTTCTTAGGTGCATACCACCGTCTGCACAACTTCATCAGGGCCATGTTGGTGTTGTGGTGTGAGAGGGATACATAGCTTCCTACCAGCCTGTCATTCCTCGGGAGTCATCTGCTGCTTGTAAAAGGGGCAGCCTGGTTCCTCATCTGTGTAGTTCTCAGTTGAGGACTGGTGGATGTTGAGCAGAAGAGCAGGAGTGACTAGTGTCACTTGTATAGTGGTTATTAGGAAACACCAAGATGGAGCATTGGCTTTCTGCCACCCCACCAGGTTACTGCTGTTGGAGATGGGCATATTTAGCTTCCCTTGAGGTGGTTCCCCAGGGCTCATCAGCCTTTCAGGTGAGCAGTACATAGGTCTGAAGCCCTTGCTGGCAGTGCAGCTTTCCAGAGACAGACTAGCATCCTTCCCATCCCCTCCAGGCAGGTGGGGGTCTCCTGACTCTCACACTGACAAGTGCTTGCATGGACTGAGCGCACTAATGGCTTTGGAGGGTGGTCAGCTTATGTTACAGTGCATTAAGGGGAAATTGTGCCCAAATCAAATTGCCTTGTGAAATCCTATTCTGCTCCTTAAGACAAAACATGTAAATATTTGGGTCTCAGAACAATAAGGTTGGCAAAATAGTCTTGATTGAAGGGGAAGTGCTGCAGCTTTATCTCCTCTCAGAGGCTCATTGAGGTGTCGCTTTACTCTGGCCTCGGGCTCTCATTGCATCTGGTAATCTGGTTTGGATTGATTGCTGTGAGGTTGACTCATGAGGACCTATGCCGAGGCCTCCTGCTTCCCGTGGGGGGTCAGTGTCTGAAAGGAGGAAGCCATAATGAGCCAGTTCCATAGCAAACCTCCTTCTCATTGCTGCAGTCCTTGTGTCTTGGGAGGCACTAATGTCTTTGGGCGGTAATCCTAGCCCTAAACAAGGTTAGGCGCAGGAAAACAAACACTCTAAACCATGGAGACCCCTGCCCCTTGCTGAAACTGTCTCTTCAAAGACTTAAGGTCTGTGGAGGCGGGGGAGGGATGGACCGTGCAATTCCACAACATCTGGTATCAGCATGGAATAGGCAGAGCTTGTAGCCACAGCTTGGTTGACTTTTTGTAAATGGCCTCAGTTCTGACAAATAGAAGCGGTGGGGAAACATGATTAGCCTGAGGGCTGTGGGGGGGTTGGCACCCACTACCATTGCAGTTGGGAAGATTTCTTTCGTATTCACTGTACTCCCAAAGCCAAAGAGTTGGGTACAGAGACATCGTCATGCTGGCTGGCGCTGGGCTGGTGCAACAGTTGAAGTCTTTTACCGCGATCACCACATGCATCTTTTCTGCTCTTGGCATTTCCTGTTTTTCCAACTTTCCGGGGTTGGCCCAGCCACACCTGGAGGTGCTGTCTGCAATGCCACACTGGTATTGGCAGTGGTGCCTCCAGAGAATCGGTGGTAACATCAGGCTGAAGCACGAAATACGCCATGCCACATCTTGCTTTTGTGCTTGGCAGTGTGGGCCAAACAAATTAACCCTGTCCTGTTGAGTTTGTGGTCCAGGACCAGTTCCTGTTAAATCCTTTGGCGGGGTCCTTAGAGCCACCCTCAGCCCGTTTCACCCGTGACATTTGAAGGACTTTTCAGCAGACTGGGGGTTTGCCACTTGGTGGTGCAGGTTTGCAGTCCTTGGGGCTGGCACTGAAATCTTTTATGGAGTGAGGGAACAGTGTTTTCTTGGACTCTGTGCTGACCAGCATTATCATGTGTTTTGCAGCAACATCCGGGAGATGAGAGCCGTACACAAGGATCCCTTCCTGAAAAAGCACAACCTGAAGCTAGGTTTCATGTCGGCTTTTGTGAAAGCTGCAGCTTTTGCTCTGCAGGACCAGCCTGTTGTGAATGCAGGTGGGTTGCGCATCTCACCAGTGACCGTGGCAGAGTGGGGGAAAGCAGGTGGTCAAGTCCATGGCAGGCCTAATAGCTTGGGCAAGCAAGTCAAATATGCAGAAAAACAGGGGACAGTCCTACGTGCTGCAGCTGATTTTGCCCATGACACTTACATAGGTAGAGTAGAGCTTGCCAAGAGGGGCTCTATTAGGAAGGGGTTGGCAGGAGTGGGGCTGGGGCTGTGTATATGGAGCCCGCAGAGGGAAGAGCCTGATGGTTGGTGTAGAGGTAGCTGCTGTAGGTGTGATGCAGTTCCTGGGGGGGGAGTGTCAGAGGTGCTTGCTCAAACCCAGAAGAGAATAACCAAGGGGATGTCTGAGGAGAACTGAATGCAGTCCTGGGGGGGGGAGTGTCAGAGGTGCTTGCTCAAACCCAGAAGAGAATAACCAAGGGGATGTCTGAGGAGAACTCAGTCTGGACTGTGTTTCCTTTCTGTCTATCCTAATGATTCTCCCACAGGTGCAGTGAGAGCTCATTCTTCTCTGGAGTTAAGCTAGAGATGAGCAAATTTTTACAATTTTGTGGCTGCTTCTGGCCTCTTTAGCCCTTCATCTTGAGTACTGTGTGTGTAACACAGCGTTTTGTCTGCTTCTAGTGATTGATGACACGACCAAAGAGATTGTGTACAGGGACTATGTGGACATCAGTGTCGCTGTAGCAACTCCCCGGGTAGGTACCTTGGATGCTTTAGCCATGGTTCCTGCAGCCTTGGGTCTGGGGATGGTCATATATTTTGAGCCAACTCAGCTTTGAGCTCCTCTGCAGTGGAAACCTACTGATGAGACTGATCTTCTAAGTGAGACATTTGATACATTGTGAACTGCTGAGATGGGTTTTGGGAGAAAATGGAGGACCGAGAATATTCTACCAGTGTACTAGGAGATGTAGTAACAAGGTAAATATAGATCTCAGTAGTTAACAAATAGGGCCAAGTTAGGGTTTTCATGGACCCATGAGGATATGGCTTAGACAGTATGTTCTTTGTATGTCCTGTCCTTTGGCTAACCCTGCTGAGAATCACATTGCTGCTTCAAAGAGATGTTCCTGTCCAGGGAGAGTATAGGATGGAGATACAGATATTGAATTAGTTGGTTCTGTTGTGAGGCAGAGGTTTGGCCAAGACTGAAGTTCTGTCACTGCTCCCAAAGTCTAGGGGAGGCCCAGCACAAAGGGACTCTGCTCTTCTCACCTAGAAAGAGGTGGCAGCTGAACTCTGCCCAGTGCCTCACCTGCTTTTATGGACATGGAGCCAGATCCAGACAGGCTTGGTTGATTTCATGAGATGGGCTTACAAAGGCAAAGAATGTGTCTCATTTATGGTGTTGGCCCTTGGTGCGTGTCTTGCCAGGTTTCCCGGCAGGCTGCCAGGGTGTGAGGCAGTTCTGCCAACCACCTGCTGTGGGCTGAGGAGGACGCAGGAACTCTGCTGGACTGAGGCCAGGCTCCTGCCCGATAACAGTTATCTGTGTGTCGCTGCGGTGAATTTGCTGATCGTGCACTTTGCTTCTCCCTAGGGTCTTGTGGTCCCCGTGGTTAGGAATGTAGAAAACATGAACTTTGCTGACATAGAGCGTGCTATCTATGAGTTGGGAGAGAAGGTAAGGAAAGTGGGAGGCTTTTCTGAAGAATGTTGGGAGGAATGGGAAGAATTGGGGGTGCTGGATAGGCATGAATTGATTCAGTCCCTCTGTGTCGTCATCTCTGACCTTTGACACACTGAGTTGTGCTGTGGGGAGCGATCCAGTTACAGCCGTAGCTGTGCCCATGCCTTACAGGACAGGCCTATCTACTTGTTGTCCTTGCAGAAGACCACAAACTATGCATTAGTGACATAGAGTGTCTTCACCGTGGTCTTTAAGAGGCCAAGGCTGAACTGCCCTGGGGTAGAAGTCCCTGTGTCTGTCTCCTGCAACAGCCAGAGTTGAAAGCGAAGGCAAGAGAATCCTTCCCCAAAGTCAGTGAATGTTCAGATCTAAAGACAGGCTACATTTTCAAGTAATTCGTGCTGGTTTTCAGCTGAACGGGTCAATAAATGAAACTCTTGCCATCAGCATTTATTCCTGGAGAGGGTCAACATCCAAACCCTTTTCCTTTATCTTCTGTGATCTGTGTGGCTTTCTAAGACCTCACTTTTTCTTCTAGGCACGGAAAAATGAACTGGCCATTGAAGACATGGATGGCGGCACTTTCACAATCAGCAACGGCGGGGTTTTTGGGTCACTCTTTGGGACACCTATCATTAACCCACCCCAGTCTGCCATCTTAGGCATGCATGCCATCTTCGACAGGCCTGTGGCTGTGGGAGGCAAGGTGGGTGGAGCTTCACAGATGTTTAAGTGAACAGAGGGGAGGGCTCAGTGGGATGAGGACCATGTTCCATATGCTTTTTCTAGGGGGTTGGTGTCAACTTCTAAAAGGCTTTACTGTGAAGGGAAGAGCAGAGACTCATGGTTGTAGGGCAGCTTTGCTGGCACTGGCACTTGCTTGAGGTGTGCAGGGGGCCTTGTCCTATCCATGAGGGTGAGAACTGGTTAATCTGCTTAGGTGTGGGGAGGAGGAGACTGTGGCCTTTGCGATAGAGAAGAGCTCCGGAAAGGGACCTTGTCTTGTGTGGTGTGGACCCAGCCTGGGCGGTGGTCAGTGTGACACTGAGTGAGTGTGGGTGGGTAATCCTGCCAGGCAGGCCACATCCAGGAGGGCATGAGCCCTGGATTCAGGATAGGAAAAAGCCGTGTCTTCCCTGAATTCACAGGAGGGCACCATGCAGGTGGTAGGGCTGAGCTCGCTAATGCCTGTCTTATTCCTCCCCTTCAGATCGAGGTGCGGCCCATGATGTACGTGGCACTGACGTACGATCACCGGCTGATTGACGGCAGAGAGGCAGTGACTTTCCTGCGCAAGATCAAGGCAGCGGTGGAGGATCCCCGCGTGCTGCTGCTCGACCTGTAGAGCAGCCACACCCCCACACAACCCACCCAGGGCAGGGCCGCAGCACCAGCAGGGACGATGCAGGGCATTCAGGAACTGGCAGGGGTCATTCCAGTCTCCCTCCCTCCGCTGTGATCAGAGCTGTCCCGGAGGGAATTGTGGGGATAGCTCCTACCTCCTTTCCTGTTCTGTTCAACGAAGGTTCAGTTTCTCACGAGGATTGCTATGCAGTGGGCCAACCACTGAATGGCACTGCCTTTCCAGAGCCATCTGTATGGCATCCTCTCCCTCACAGCACCAAATTCTCACCTCTAGCTTGTCCTACACCAGTGGAAACTGCTTGCTGCTGCTGTGCTAGGGTACCCTTCCCTGCCGCTCCAAGGCGGGTTCAGCTTTATTTCCTAGCACTGAGGTTCCTGGGAGGGAGAGGAGAGAAAAGGCCACTGTTCTGTCCCTGTTTTGCTTGAAAATATTTCACTCTCATATGCCTTGCAAGGGCAGTCTGGGGACCCCCAGGCCACTTGCAGCAGAGGTTTTGATCAGAGCAGGGCTTGAGGTAGGCGTCATGCCTCTGGCAGTGCCCTAGTTACACTCCCTCCACAGACAGGAACGCAGCGGTGGCAGCTTCCCTGCTTTCTCTTGGAGATCGTTGGTCTCTCTCCAGCCTGGTCACTGTGGCGTGAATGTTCATGTCTGGGGTGGGCAGAGCCCATGACCTCGGTGGAGGTGGCACTGTTCCTGGGGGGACAACCTTTTCACCATTACATGCCCGACGTGGGGGTAAGAACCAGCCCCCAGCAGCTGTCCTTGAATCACAGCTCACCGATGGTGGATCCGACTGCTGGCTTCCTGCGTGCGAGGGCTTGGCCTGCTACCAGCGAAGAGACAGCTGGGGAGGGCCAAGTCTTTCAGTGTAATGTATATCCCAGCCCAAGGCTGCTGGTTTTGGGGGGGAGGGGGGGGAAGTCCTTAATCCGATAGCGCACACATGTATGGGGGAGTGAGGGGGTTGCTAGTGCCTGCAGAGTCTATTACCCTCTACACAGAACTTGTAACTAAAATATTTAACACAGCGGATTTTAAATGAAATAAAACTGGGCAACGACTGCGAGGTGGGGTGTGTTTGAGGGGGTGAGCAGCAGCTCCTGGGCGAGGACTCGGGCAGCAGCTGTATCCCTAGTGTAGCATAAGAAGCACGTTATCTGATGGTGAGAGAAAAGGGAATGGGAACTGGGCCTGTCTCTCGTGGTACTAAATTGAGGCTTCTCTGGTTGTGAATTCTATTGTCTTCAAACCCTCTTTGGCACAGAACTGGCTCTTCCCAGCAAAGATGAGGTTTTCAGGGCTGGAAGCCATCCTTTTTGTGGTCTAGCAACAGAACTGTTACAGATGGCAAGGAAATCCCAGGATGTGCTAAACGGCGTGATGGCCAAGAGGGAGAACTGGGACAGGCTCTTAAAGTATACAGGTGTGGGGTCAGTTTGTTTTTTCCCTGATGCAACGGGAGCGTTGTAAACCATGGAAGTGGGAGGGAAAAATGTTGGGGGTTGGAGAGGGAGAGAGGCGGCCGGGTGGGAGGGAAGCGGTGCACCAAAGGCTGTCCGTGGTGCTGAGAGCATTTCCCAGAGGAGCTGTCCCTCTTGGAACAACACGGAAGGGTTCCTGGATCACAGCGGGGTTTTCCAGCTCTGATATCAACTTCAGAGAATGGTTCGCCCTTCCCGACTACGAGTGAAGGCGGCAGTAGTAACAGAAAGCGATTGCGCTGACAGCCGGCATGCTGACGAAAGGGACAGCAGTTCCTGGTACTGGTTCCCACGGCTTCCTGGCAGCTACGGACAAACCTGGACATGGAGTCAGCTTTCCTCTGCTTGTCCCTGGTTGGTTAGGAAGGTTAGGAGGAGAGAGGGGGAAAAAAACCCTTCCATGTGCTGTAAAGGAAGGGCAAAGAGTCTAACTGCTCTTGCACAAATGAATAGAATGAAAGAGAAGGTTCTGGTTAAGAAAAGGCTGCTAGCACCCAGTTCCCCATGCTGGTGTAGGATACAGAGGGCTCACCTTGACTTTGTATGTGAGCCTGGGGAAGAGCAATGCCTGTATTCTGTCTGGAGCTGCAATAAATGAGGCCTTCGAACTACCTTGTGAGTGAATGTAAAGTCAAGCTCTTAAAATGATGCAGCCTAGCAAACTGCTTTATTTAACCTGCCCTCTTGGGGCTTGCTGTAGGAGGGTCGTGCAAGCTGCTGTGCTTGAAGCTTCCTTTTTTTCACCCTCCTGGGTAATGCCCAGGGCACTTTGTGACAAGAAGCCACGCTGTGGCTTCAGCCGCAGGCCTAAGAGTCAGTCCTGCTGACTCTCCCCCGAATCAGGACTAGGAGGCTTCTGGCCAAGGGGGGGATCCTGCTGCTGCTGGAGGGGTCAGCCAGCGCAGGCTGCCCCAGGGAGGAAAAGCCGCAGGCTTAGCTGCTCCCAGCGCCTGGCCTGCTCAGCCATCTTCTCCTTGGTTAGTCCTCCTGCTTCTGCACAGCCTTTGAGGTGTTCTCTGCCTTTGGTGGAGGGGCAGATGAGTTTTTCCCAGGCTCTGCTTCCCTCTGGTGGACAAGCGCTCCTGCTGCTGCCCGATAGCCAGGCTGAGCCAGCAGGGTGTTACTGCTGGTGGCAAGCAGGAGCTGGAACCAGCTAGCCACAGAAGGGTTTCACTAGTGCCAGTAATTCCTTACTATTGGGGACAAGTGATCAATGGGAGGGAGTGCTGGGAGAAGAGGGCCAAAACTTGGCCACTGCCACTGCTAGCTCATCCTTCAGCCTATGGCTTTGACTTGCAAACAAGCACAGCAGCTTCTGCCTTGGGCTGTTAGCAGGCACTTTTTTTTCACGCTGCTTTTGCTTCCATCCTGGGTTTGTATTTACCCTCACCCTCCTTCCACCAGTGCTGGTTCTCAGAGTTCACCCCTTTAAACCCTCGCTGTTTGTTCTACCCAGGAATGACCATGCTCAAAGCAGAGCAAGGGGGGTAGCGGCACCACTGTCCTGCCAGCAGAAAGGAGCATGCAGGCCCGGGAGGCTGGAGCCAGAATGGGTGATGACAACAGTCAAGGCTGGAAGAAAACACCGGCATGCTGTGCGTTTTCCTGAGACTGAGCTGGAGCCGCATGGCCGTGCAGATCCAAGAGGCCACAAGGCAGGCAGGGCACGAGGGGAGATGGCCAGACACTCAGTGCCACCTTCTGGGTTCTGGCTGCAGGGTGCTGACAGCCAGCGGGTGACACCAACCTGGGGCTCCCACACAGGTTTGAGACAGATTTGGGGCCCTCCCTCACTCAGCCCAAGCCTCCCTGGTCCAGCTCAGAAACCAAAGGACACTTCTGCAAGCGATAACGAGTGGTTTATTCTTTTCAGAGGGCCGGGGGGAGAAGAGCAGAGGGTTCCCCCACATCCTGCCCCTGCAGGAGGCATTACCAAAGCACATGCAGCCAGGGATGGGTGCAGAGGCTGGGCTCGGGCACCAGCCAGCGGGGCCCGGAGGAGATGCACTTGAAAGCCACAAAAAATAACAGGGCTGGGGGCGGTGTCACTGTGGTAGCAGCAAAGATAAAAACCACAAGGAGGGAGTCCGAGGGCACGGTGTTAAGCTGAGCAAGGGATGCCCCAGAAGGGGAGCATGGCCTCTTCCCAGGGGCGGGCACCTGGGCTCCCTTTCCCACCAAGGAGGACCTAGAGGAGAAGACAGCCTGGCCCAGACCACAGCCTCCTCTCTCGGAGACACCAACAAACACAAGCAGAGACGGAAGAACATGAAAGGCTGCAAAACCTCATGTGTACCCCACCCTGGGGCAAAACCTCCCCCCGCAAGCAGAGCTGCCCGTGCCACCTGGGGTCACAAGTGCCCTGGGACAGTGGCTCTGTGCCCTGCTCCCCGCGGGAAGGACAGCCGGCCTAGCCCACCAGCTTGTTCCACGGGATGGTGCTGAAGAAGGAGTGGGACTTCAGCTTTGCCATGCCACCTCCTCCAGAGCCCAAACGCCGCTTTGGGTTGTACTGCAGGAGCTGCAGAGAAAGGGGGTGGGACAGCAGCATGGTGAGATGGGGACACTTGAAAAGCTACCCAGGCTGGACCCTCTAGCCCCATCTTCCCTCCCACCCACCCACCCAAGCCCCTCACCTCGGTGAGCAGTGACGTAGCGGCCACGCTGAGCCCCTCCGGCAGATGCAACTGGGTGTGAGGTTGAATCCCTGAAGGGTGGTTTTGGGACAGTGGCTGCAGGAGGCAGAAGGTGATGGTTAGCAGAAGCACTGAGGAGGGTAGGAGCACCCTGCTGAGCCTTCATTGCCACACAACCCCAGCGCTACACAGCAGGATTTAAAACCGGGGCCCTGAACACCCAGGGACCATGCACAGGCACTAGGAATCACACGCCTGGAGTAACCAGGCACAGTGCTGGAGTGCCAGCAGGGCATCCTCCCAGCCCTGCATGGCAGAGAGCTCTTGTGCTATGGTGTCACCTCCTCCTTCCCCCCTCCTTGCACACCTCCTCTGCCTCTTACCACTCCAGTCAGCAACTCGTACAAGAGAGCGCCAAAGCTCCAGCAGTCAGCGGCTTCGGTGGGCTCTGTGATCCCCCCTACTTCTGCAGAAAGAGCCAGAGAGGTGTTAGAGCTGGAGGCTGGGAGCACCAGTGGCTGTGCCGTGCCAGGTACATCTCACCACCTGCAGAAGCCCCCTCTCTCACAGCTGGCAGCACTGGGCCGAGGGCAGGAGAAGGCAGGGGACGCATCCCTTACCTGGGGCACTGTACAGCTCTTCCCGTGCCTGGCTGCAGCACTGGGGCTCCACCTCTGTCCACTGGCCAAAGAAGGTGAGACGGACGTGACCTGCAGAGCAGCACCAGAGCCAAAAGCAGGGAGGTTAGGACAAAGCTAGGGTCTTCGGTCGGAGCACAAAGCCAAGCCACATCCCTCCAACTGCTTGCCATGCAGCTAGTGAGACTGGTTAGGTGGGCTACAAGCTGACGGACCCCAGGCAGGCTGTAGTGAGGAAAGAAGCAGTGCCAAAGGGAGGGTTGGCTTTCCCCTTGCAAAGCTCTCTGCATTTTTCTTTTCCTAAGCAATTTCCCCCTTGCCCCAGCTGAGCTTGCACTGACAGTGGTACCTACTGCTTGAAGGGATGGGCAGGCTCCAGAATACCCCAGTGAGCAGTAACTACAAGCAGAGGAAAGCTGCAATCCCAACTAACCTCAGGCCCAGTTCGGCTGGTGTCAGCTTCCCCATGCTGGGATTTCCCAGGCAGTCAGCCCCGACGTGGGAGCAGGGGCAATGCATTCCTGTGGCTGTGGCCCCTGACTCTCCCACTGCAGAGCCATCTCTTGTAATAACTGCTTGGAAATCCCAACTGAGACCACACTTCCAGGTTCAGAAACATCCAAACGTCCCCAGACTCCCACCCTCCCCCCAAAGCAAACTCAAGAAATCCCGTGCCCCTGGAAACAGGGCGAACGGCAGTCTCCCAGCCAAGATGCCAGCCTCCTTCTCCTCGGGGCACCAGCCTGGGGCACTACCTACCGGCTGCATCAAGCAGCAGGTTCCTGGGGTTGAGATCCCGGCACAATACACCCTGTTGGTGAAGTCCCTCTAAGGCCAGGAGGATTTCCGCTGCCCACAGCTGCACCTGCTCCTCCTTCACAGCCCACGCTCTCTGGCCATGCCCATGGGAAGCCAAAGCCCGGTCCTGTCCTGACAGCGGCTGCTCTCTGAGCCGGCTACAGGTCAGGCTTGTTCCCCGTGAGATTTCCTGCACCGCTGGGTCAGGCCCATGGACCTTGCCAGGGCTGGACGGGGCAATGCCTGCACAAAGCTGCCTCTGACCCGAGGAGGTCAAGAGAGGCCGAGCCCAGGGGACCTCAGACACTTGCTGAGATGATGGCTTCCCTGCCCCTGGCTGGCCCCCTCTCACAGTCTTCAGTGCAGGGCCAGGTGTCTGGGGAGGTCTTCCACCGGCACGTGGTCCAGGGTCTTGTTGAGAGGCTGCTCTCTCTGATACACAGCCCATGCTGCTGGTTAGAGCGTCCCAGGGATAGATGACCAGGCCCTGGTTGGTAAGGTGGCTGGGGCCTTTGGCTGATACTGCTGGAACATGGTCCATGATGCCAGACATAGACTGGGTCACACTTAGATCCTGGCCTCCAGCTGCAGCTCTCATGCCACCAGTGGGAGCCAGGAAAAGCCGGCAGTGGTTCCCCAAGCTGGGGTCTGTGGGGTCAGGGGACTGCTCCCGAGCAGGCAAGGCATCGGTGTTTCCCAGTACTCGGTGGGTCATAGAGCCTGGGAGCCCACTGCCTGTCTGAGCAGAGAAGATCGAGATTTGGCTGCTGCCCCGGGGGCTTCCCACGACATCTTCTCTGCCACGGTTCCTCAGAGCTTGAACGGTGTTTGAATCGGCAGAGTCCTGCTGGACACAGTACTTGGAGTGGAGGTGAGACCACAGTGTCTCCCCTGGAAAGTGGAGAGAAGAACAGGTGATGGGGCAGAAAGCATCCCTGGTTCCCCTGCTGTGGGCATGGCCCATTCAGGCACAGGCCAAGGCCCACATGCTGGGGACGTGACTGAGCATCGTTAGTCTCCCCAGCAAAGCTCAAGTCCATGCAGAATACTCCCCAGCCCTATAAGCACACCATGCTCAACGCCACACCTCCCCCAGAACCTGGCACACCAAAGGCTCATCCCCCTGTCATTTAGCAGCCCTGCTCCCCCCTCTGCACAGTCTCCTTGTGACCCCAGATCTGCCACGTCCATGTCACAGGTCAGCCACATCTTCACACGTGCCCCTGATCCCACTGACATCCCCACTTCCTCCTGAAAGCCTTTCCTCCCCACGTGACAGCAATGCTAGGAGCTCCCACAGCACAGCACAGAGCCCGTGGGTCAGCAATGAGCCAGAGCAGTGAGCCCTGGAGCCCACAGCACACTGCTGGGGCTTCCCAGCCCCACCACATTCAGCTGCCGGCTGCTTTCTGCAAAATCATCTTACAGCAACGCACGAGGAGCTGAGGCTGTTCTCCAACACATGGCAGCCTTCATTTGTCATTGCTGGACTCCAGCTGCTGCTCCCTGCACATCCATGCAACCCGCAGAGAGCAAAGAAGCTCCCTGGGACAAGCATCCACCTTGTCACACTTCTTCACCAGGACCTGGGACAAGTCCCAAGCTCACCTCCTTGTTGTACCTGAACCCAAATGTGCTCCCTGCCCTTTACGCCCTGATTCTCCATCTCCTCTCTTTGATCTGATCTCAAAATCCATTGTGGCCTCTTCTTTTGTAACCAAAAAGTGTTTTGTAAAGGTCTTATCAAAAGTTTTGTTCAACAACATCCAGGTGAACTACCTCACTTGGTTCTCCTCCATCACTTTCCTGTCGTGGATAAACAATGCCAGTAAAATGAAGAGGTTTTTCTTTTCAAGACAATGGACCACATCAACCTCTTTACTTCAAGGCATGACCATTCCCTTCCATAGGACACAGTGATCCCTAGGCTAGTTTCCATATAACACCCCTACACACACAGCCTCTTTCTCCTTGTAGATCTGCACAGGTCCATTTCTAGGTTACTTTCCCTGTCAGCTCTTTACCAAACCTCCAGAATCCCCAATACAGCTGAGCAGGTCTTTTCACGAAGTCTCTAAGCCCTCGTACCCATCACCCTTCTATGAAGAAGACAGCTTGTGCTGTCACTATAAAAAACAGTCCTGAAGCAGCAGAAGAAACATATTTGAGACTTTCAAGAAGGGAGGCTGGGAATAAAGCAGGATGATCCACAGCTGGAAGGCAATGCTGTCCCTACTCACCCTGCACGTGCTCCAGGTGGAGAAAGATGGAGTCCTCACTCACATAGTAGCACAGCAGCTTGACCATGAAGGGGACCCCATGAGGGATGATGGTCTGTCGCTCACGGGTCTCAACATGGGATTTGGGGAGGCTCTGAGGAGACACGGGTAGATGGATGTTACAGTACAGAAGAGGCTTGGACTCCCTGTAGCACGTGGCAGGGCAGGAGGCCAGCCAGAAAAGTAGCGTGCCACCTGCTGTCCCTCTGCGTCACCTGCAATGGACCTCCCTGTCAGCACCCAGCAGTGACAAGGCAGAGCTCTGCAAAGCTCTGCCAAGGCAGAGCGCTCCCCACCTGCACTGCGGGACCCAGAGGACACTGCTGGTCCAGAGCAGCGGCCTTCCTCCACAGCTGCCTCTACTTCCCTCAGATGGGAATCCGTCATCCCAGCCCTCTCTCCTCTCCCCTCTGGAACTCATGTTTCTCCCTGTCACACCAAAGCCTCCTTGTCAAATTATTAAAATCCTTTCTTTTCAGTTCCAAGGGAAAATGCCCTAGGACTTGTACTGATCACACCTCACCCACCACCTTTTTCAGCGGTTGACACAGCACAAGGCTTGGCTTGCAGCATTACAAGGCAGAGGAATGGATGACCAAGGAGAACCACCTTCCTTCCAATCACAGAAGATGGCTGAGGCAGCCAAAAGAAGCTTTATGAACAATGAACTTCCTCTAACACCTCTGTGATCTGCTATTTTTTGGTGCTCTCAACTGCCCCAGCCACCTGCTTGGACAAGGAGGCTCTGGCATGACAGGGAGAAGCAGGCAGATGAAACTGAGAACACCCACCTTAAGTATAAAGGTCCCACCAGTAGCCGGATCCTGGACAATCTGCACCTGGGAGCAGTATATACGGTATCGGTCAGAAGCGGTGACTGCTCCTACCCCAACACACACCCACCACGCAGGGGAATGACCCAGGGACTCAAGTCTGGAACAACGAATTCCCACCCAACTAGAGGAGTTTGGTCGTGCTCAAACCTCTACTCTTGAAAGACAAAACACAGGTTATTAGCAATGAGATAGCCAGGGAGCAGGGTTAATTAAAGACACAGGTGACTCCCACACCATTTTTGCTTCCTTCACAATGAAGGGCTTTGAACTGCTCCTCCTGGGCTCTGTGGGGTATGCTGGGCTGCCAACCTGGTCCTCAGCAGGACAGGAGGACCACATCAGTACTGAAAAACTGAGATATGTGAACAGCAGAGGAGGGCAACGTGCCAGTGTGTGAATAGAGACATGGTAAGCCAACTTCACTCCAAGATCATGAGCTACTGATTAGTTGATTTATCTGTATAGCTTGCCTTCTGCTGGTCTAGATTATCCATAGAAGTCCACCATCATGGCACCTAGGCATCAAGCATGATTCCATTCATGGGAAAGAACCTGATACGTCAACCTGCTTGTAAATATCTTGGGAGATCTTGTAAGCAAAAGGAATGGGGACATTAACAGATTTCCCAACTAAGCCCTAAAGGGTCTTGCATCCTCGCCTGCAAATTTTCCTTGGTGGGAATGGTGTGGATGGTAACGCTCACATTCCTTGGTGGGTGCACTGGGAGACGGCACCCCGACCTGAGCTGCCGGGATCCTCCAGGTTACACTCTCCTTGGTCCATCCCCAGCCTCACCCTCCCCCCCGTCCCAGTTCCAGGTCGAATCATTACCTTATCGATCACTCCCACAACCTTACATCGTCTCAGGTTCTCCACTGCCGAGCTCAGCGTCCTGATCGGCCGGAAGCGCAGGCTGCTGTAACCCTGCAAGGCAGTGAAGAAGAAGGTGAGGGGCCTAGAAATGCTACTGTCCATGACAGTGGGTGGGAGAAGTCCCCGTATTTTCCAGAGCGGGCAGCAATACTGCCGGGCTGGTCGACATCCAGAGACATCTCTCCAACTGCCATGGTTGATTCCTAACATCAGCTGGACTGTTTTCTTGGCCAACTCCTGGATTTCTGAAGTTTTCAAGAAAAGCTTGCACCCGCAGCAGAGGTAAAATCACTCCAAAATTTACACCTTGACCTGGACTGCCTCAACACTAAGGGGATCTGTATGGAAGGTAGTTGCTGACCTCCTCTCATCCTTCTCACCAGGCCCCGATGCTGCCCTGCCTCACTCCCCTCTCCCTTCATTAACCACCTCCTTCCCACAATGCAGCAGGCAGTCATCGTCTTTGGTTTCCATCCAGATGGGAACGAGAGGGAAGATGACATTTTTAACATCTGACAAGGTGGTTCCTGCCAGCAGCTTCAGTCCCACCGAAAATGGCCATTTTCACTATGATGGCCACAAGCTAAAACATAAACGCCTCAGGGAGGAGGGGGGGCCGGGGCGTGAGGGGAGACGGTCCTGGAAGCCCCCCAGGCAAGCTGGGCCCACCTCAGCTCCTTGCTCCAAGCAGGACAAAGGGCTGCCAGCTCCCTCGCAGCCACCGGCGTGCCAGGACACTCTGCAGCAGATGTGTCTGCCATTTTCTCTATGCCACCTTAAAGTGACATCTTTATGTGTCCCCTTTATATGACTCCTTTATGTGTGTCCCCCCCAGGTATCTCAGTGCCATTGATCCACCACCATCCCACGCGTGCTGCCCCATGCCAGCCCCTCACCGTGGCGGTGGGGTTGCCATCCCCTGCAGCCCGCTGGAGGTGGCAGTTGAAGATCTCCTCCGCACGCCTCAGGTACTGTGTGATCTTCCGCTTCACGGCCTCCCGACGCTCCTTGTTGGGGTCAACTGCGAGCGGCGCAGAGGGTGGGCGTGAGGGGCCTGCTGTGCTCCCTGGAGGGATGCCCTGCTCCCCTGGCCACACTCCCCAGAGGGGTGCCCCCACCCCCTTGCTGGTTTCCCCTGAGGGATGCCCCAGTCCCCTGGCCATGCTCCCCAGAGGGATGTCCTGGCCTCCTGGCTGTGCTCCCTGGATGGATTCCCTGGTCCCCTGGCCATGCTCCCTGGAGTAATGCCCCATCCTGACCGTGCTCCCCAGACGGATGCCCCGGTCCCCTGGCTGGTTTCCCTGGGTGGATGCCCCATCCTCCAGCCATGCCCCATGGAGGGATGCCCTGGCCCTGGTTGTGCTCCCTAGATGGATGTCCCAGGCCCCTGACTGTGCTCCCTGAAGAGATGCACTGGTCCCCTGGCCATGTTCCCCAGAGGGGTGTCCCAGTCTCCTGTCTGGTTTCCCCTGAGGGATCCCCTGGCCCGACTCAGTCCCCCAGCCACGCTCCCCGGAGGAATGCCCTTGTCCCCTGGCATGCTACTCAGAGGGATGCCCCAGCCCCATGGCCATGCTTCCCAGGTGAATGTCCTTGTCCCCTGGCTACAATCCCCAGAGGGATGCCCCGACCCCCACACTGTGCTCCCCAGAGGGATGCCCCAGTCCCCTGACTGGTTTTCCCGGATGGATGCCCCAGTCCCCTGGCCGTGCTCCCCAGAGGGATGTCCAAGCCCCCTCTCTGGTTTCCCCTGAAGGATGACCCAGCCCCTTTGCTGCACTCGGTCCCCCAGCATGCTCCCCGGAGAGATGCCCCAGCACCCTGGCCACGCTCCCCAGAGGGACACCCTGACCCCCTCACCGTGCTCCCCAGAGAGATGCTCTGGCCCCTGGCTGGTTTTCCCGGATGGATGCCCCGGCCGTCAGCCATGCTCCCTGGAGGGATGCCTCAAGCCCCCCCGCTGGTTTCCCCAAAGGGATCCGGCCCCGTAGCTGCGCTCGGTTCCCTGCCGTGCTCCCCGGATGGATGCCCCGGTCCCCTGGCCGTGCTCCCCGGAAGGATGCCCGGGTCTCCCGCCCGCCGAGGCGGCCCCGCGCCCCCTGCACG